TCATACCTAGGCAGAGACATGGAACATTTCCAAGCATTCCCCAGCATAGCTGTGAGAAATGGCACACAGAGGTCTCCTTGTGAGTCATCAGGCTGTAGTTGGTGGGTTTTGGATTCCTGGTCAAAGGCAAAGTAGCTTCTTGAAGCCTGAAATTGTCCTGCTCATGTCTGGTTGGACTGAGGCTTGGGAGACCCAGGCTGCAGTCCCCATCTGGGCCATAAAGCTCATTCATGGGCCAGTGATTGTTTCTTGGCAAAATGTGGTAAACACAGACATCAGGTAACTGAAGGAAGGAGAAATTGGGGAAAGGAGAAACGAGGGTTCATTTTCGTGGAGGGAAGTGGAATATGAAACTGTCCTGAAACATTAGCAATGTGGTGGTAGATGTTGATGCTTTAATATATACCTGTGATTTCTTAAGACTCTTAAATATTAAGAGGCTGTTACGTTACAGGTTTCACATAAGCATGTGAATCTGATAACATTCTTCTTTTCTAGTGGCTTGTGAACTTTTTCGGCTCCCTGTCTGTTGAAGACTCTGTGGAGTGCCTCCGGGCTATGCTGTCTGCCAACATCCGACAAAATCTACAGCTCTGTGTGCAGGTGGCTTCTAAGTATCACGAACAATTGGGCACCCAGTCTCTTGTGGAGCTCTTTGAGTCTTTCAAAAGTTATGAAGGTAAGCCTAGGTAACTAAATAGCGAAAGCAAAGCAAAGTGTGCTGCTCATATACCACTCCATAGTGCTTAAAGCTCTCTGAGTGCAGTTTACAAGGTGAATGATGCAGGTTACACATTGCCCACGCCCCCACCCCCGTGACCTGGGAACTCAGTTTACCAGCCTCGGAAGGATTGAAGTCTGAGTTAACCTCAAGCTGGCTGCCTTTCCCCATTGGGATCAAACTCAGGCCAGGAGCAGAGTCCTGACTGCAGTATTGCAGCATTGACCACCGTGCCATGAAGCTCCTCCTTTTACTGCGGACACTAATGTGTTAGCGGATTCCTCAGTAAAGTAATATGCATCAATTGGAGCCGAGAATAGTGGGGGAAGGCAAGGATTCAAAGGACCAGTGAATTTGTGAAAAGTGAAAGCCTGTTCTTATACCTTGGAATCTAAGGAGAAATGAGAGGGAATCCTCAGATATCATGGTTCTCTTAACCATATTGTATTAGTTGTTCTACTCCCATACATAAAGAAGTAACTTTTCATCGTGCTGTCTGTTAATGCTGTAACATGAAAGGAAAAAATCCTAGTGTAGCAAACAGAAGGGGCCTTATGTGTGTGCATGCACAGGTGAACCATAACTCTGTGTCTCTCCAGGCCTGTTCTACTTCTTGGGCTCCATTGTGAACTTCAGTCAGGACCCAGATGTCCACTTCAAGTACATTCAAGCAGCTTGCAAGACGGGCCAAATCAAAGAAGTAGAAAGGATCTGCCGAGAAAGTAACTGTTACAATCCAGAACGAGTGAAAAACTTCCTGAAGGTAAAACTGCCTTGAGTGTCAAACTCGGACGGTAGCATTTTTATTTTGACTTCTGTACCACTCTCCATTGAATGAGCTCGAGATAGTTTACAGAACAAAGGAACCAAGTTCATGTTTCTGCATGAATGCAGTCACAAGGGAATTGAGAATCTTTGGGAAGATAAATTGCTTACCCGTTTATGATAAGAAGTCAGTGTAACATGTGCCACGTTGTAGGTGGGTGGGCAGAATTCCTTCGTATGTATTTCTTTCAGGCTGTATTCCCTTCTGGATGTTATGTTCATCCTTATACTTCACTATCATTTTCTTGGTCATAACAATTCCAGCTTGCATTCTCTTCTGCTTCTCTACTTACACAGGAAGCCAAGCTTACAGATCAGCTTCCCTTGATAATTGTCTGTGACAGATTTGACTTTGTTCATGACCTGGTTCTCTACCTATACCGTAACAACCTACAGAAATACATCGAGATCTATGTTCAGAAGGTAAAGTACAAACTCTGGTGAACGTTGCTGAGAGCTTGTTTGAAACCTGCAGCATCAACTCCTTCCCTTTCTTCTTGTGGAATAACTAGGAAGTATTCCGTGCAGAATAAATGGGAGTGGCAGGGAATGAATCAGAGAGCATTTGAAGGAAACTTAAGTTTTCGCAAAATACATTATTTTAAACAGTGCTTTTTGGGTTTGCATAAGATTTGCAATCTATATTAGGTGTCTTACATGAATGACTTGTAGTTTTTCTTGCAAGCCTCAAAGTTAAAAGTAAAAAATTTGTCCTAGGTCAACCCAAGCCGCATCCCAGCAGTTGTTGGGGGACTCCTAGATGTGGATTGTTCCGAAGATGTCATTAAAAACTTGATCATGGTGGTGAGAGGCCAGTTCTCAACGGATGAACTGGTAGCTGAGGTAGAAAAAAGAAATAGGTAAGACCCTTAGAGTTCAGCTCCAGAATTCCTTTATTTCTATACACGCTTTGGATGTATTTTCAACCTTGCAGAATAATTAAGCCAACATGTCACTTTTTAAAGCCACAATGAAAAACAAAGGAGATGTTGGCATGGTTGGCAAAACTCATTGTATCTCTTCTTGTATTAAAGATTTTAATTTTGGGCTCACTGGTACATCTTTGCTTTCAGATAGTTAGCTTGCAGCGGACCTTCTATACAAACGTCTTCCCCTTTTAAAGGAAACTGGGCAATGGCCCTTGGGTTGGTGGCAGGTATGAAAATGTAAAAGACTTACACTATAGTAAACTAAGCTATGTTTTTTCACTAAGGCTTAAGCTGCTCCTGCCTTGGCTCGAGTCTCGAATTCACGAAGGCTGTGAAGAACCAGCAACGCACAATGCGCTGGCTAAGATCTATATTGACAGCAACAACAACCCCGAACGCTTTCTCCGGGAGAACCCCTTCTACGACAGCCGTGTTGTGGGCAAATATTGTGAGAAAAGAGATCCTCACCTGGCCTGCGTTGCTTATGAGAGGGGGCAGTGCGACCTTGAACTCATAAAGGTGAGCATGAATGGCTGCCTTCTAGGCATGCACATTTAAATAGTACCAACAGCCCCAGCTCTTGAACAAACCAGGATTTTAGCAGGGAGAAAGCGTCTCTCAATTGGTGATTTTCAAACATTTTCTTGGAAGCTCTGTGGTTCCTCAGCAAGACAACTGATTATAGGCTGTTTATCGGTTCTTAGTTCAGTTTGGGTTTTTCTCAGTGTTTTCAGCTTTCTTGAAAGACGACTTGTCCACCACTGTGAGCTTTCCCCATGGCTGCAGGGTTTCTGTTGCGGGTACGTAGAAGTTTCTTGGCTGATTGTTCAGTATAACGACAAAAATTATATTTCAGTATAAATGTGACTGAAGCGAAGCTGGAGATAGCTTCCTGTAAATAACCATTTTTAGTCCCTAAATATGCCTTTTTCTCTCTCTTTTTCTTTCCCTTCATTCCTTTTAGGTCTGCAATGAGAATTCCTTGTTCAAGAGTGAAGCTCGCTATCTAGTTCGCAGAAAAGATCCAGAATTGTGGGTAAATGTTCTGGATGAAAATAATCCATACAGGAGACCACTTATTGATCAGGTATGCCAAATATACAGAATTTTCAAAAACGGAAAATGGTGAATGAGGCAGAATACATATTTGCCATGTTCAGTGGTGGACCACTAGAGTGGGTAGCAGATGCTAAAGACCTTACTCCCTTTGTCTCCATACTCTTTCAAATAAGATTAGCATGGTGCTTTTAATGATCTGTGATTATTCCTCTACCTGCTTTCTCTATGACCTGTGTTTGGAGGAAAGGTGTGGGAAAATAGTTTTAATTCAGAGTGGTGTAGAATTCTGCCTTCTGGTGGGGGGAAAAAGCATCTAAGAAATTTTGCAGCCAAACGTCTTCTGATCCCTGTTTTCTTCACGTAAGCTACATAAACTATTTCTGTTCTGCTTTCCTGCATGCTCTTTAAAGCTAGGCTATGGTTAACACTCTGCACCTTGACAATAATAGAAATCATTCTCCAAATATCAGGTTGTCCAGACAGCATTATCAGAGACTCAGGATCCAGAGGAGGTTTCTGTGACAGTCAAAGCTTTCATGACTGCTGACCTGCCCAATGAGCTCATTGAGTTACTTGAGAAGATTGTTTTAGATAACTCTGTCTTCAGCGAGCACAGGTAAGAGGGGGGAATTTTCCATGGTGCATTCAAATGCAAGGAAATGTCCCCTGCATTTCACTGTGTATTATGAGCATTGCTTTAATACAGAGATACCGTATAAATCACATTTATGTATTATATTGCTGACGTTCCACACTTGATTATAACTAGAAGAACACATCCAGCTTTGAAGTTGGTGCTGGCTTCAACTGCTAGAAACTAGTTATTTCAAACAAGCTAATGTGTTTTGAATGCATTATACATTGCATTAGTGTTTTTCATTGGCAAATGGCTGTAAATGACTGCTTTATAAAATGTAATAAGGAGCATCTACTAGCTAAACTGAATGATTCCACTGTTATCATTGAAGAAACCTCCAGAATCTACTTATCTTGACTGCCATTAAAGCAGACCGTACACGCGTGATGGAGTATATCAACCGTTTGGACAACTACGATGCTCCGGATATTGCTAATATTGCTATTAGCAATGAGCTCTATGAAGAAGCCTTTGCCATCTTCAGGAAATTTGATGTGAATACTTCTGCAATTCAGGTAAGCCATCATGTTGATAGTTTCAAAGGCTTTCTTTGGTTTTTTTAAAATACTTCAAAGCCCTTTCAGGGCTCATGCAGAAACCCTTGGCAATATGCAGCAGTGAGTTGGTGTGTGGGCTTAAAAGTCATGGTTAAGCCACTTTTGTCTTCTCATCATCAAGGATGAGTACAGCTAATAGAAGCGTAGAATCACAGAATGGTGCAGCTGGAAAGGACCACAAGGGTGGTTGAGGTCAAGCCCTATCAAAGCAGCAAAACTACATCCCTGACAGGTGGCCAGCTAACCTCAGTGAACCATAGGTTCCTCTCCTCCCTGCCCTTATCAGTCTGTGAAACCTTGCTTCAGCAATTAAAATGCTTATAGATTTTATAAAAGCTGGATGGTTTTCTTCTTCTTCTGTAGACCCAAGTTTCTCCTTTCTCCTCATCCTCTCAGCAACCATCCCACATTGCCTATTACCCACTTGTTGAGACACCTTTTATAATTTTTTCAATCTAGGTGTTGATAGAGCACATTGGCAATTTGGATCGTGCTTATGAGTTTGCAGAAAGGTGTAATGAACCAGCAGTTTGGAGCCAGCTGGCCAGAGCACAGCTCCAAAAGGACTTGGTTAAGGAGGCCATAGATTCTTACATAAAGGCTGACGATCCTTCTGCCTACATGGAAGTCGTCCAGGCAGCCAACAGAAATGGTAAGTCAAATGGCTCTTTAGCTTAGAACACTTGACTGAAGCCTTAATAGCAAGAGTCTATGGTGATCTCCTTGAAAGCCCACCATTTAATAGTAAAGATGGATGGATTATCTTGTTTCTAGCCTGTGTCAGTTTCATAAGTTTTCACAAGTCCCTTCCACTCTATTTCCTTTATCAGCCTCTGATTTAAAAACAAACAAAAAGGCACACACAAATGAGTCAGATTCCTCTAAAACATGTTTTCCTACAAGATGCACACTTTTGTGCACTATTACCCCAGCATTCACTCTTCATAATTGTTTTACTTACAGTACAAATGTTGGTATGTCTTAAATTTGAGTCCCTATTTCACAGTCAGTAAAGATACATGGACTGTATTACACATATTAGTCTAAGAGTCATGCATTCGGCTTGAAAAAGCAGCATGAACAAAGTCTGGGCATGTCCATCTTTGATAGCATTGAATAATATAAATCTTGCTTAATTATGGTGCATACTGGCCAGAAAACTATGATCTGGTCTTTTAAATCTGTAGAAACTACATGATTATAATGGATAATGTTTTAGGGTTTTTAAAAGTCTTCTTAAAGGTCTCCATCTCAGATAAGATGATTCTTAAAATGTGATTCTCATCTGAGATTAAAATCTGAGATCAAATCTGAGATTTATCTGTATATATAACACCTCTTCATCTGCTTAGAGCAGAAGCATATTGTTGCCTATATTCCATGGCTACCCTTGCACACCGAAAAAAAGGAAACTAATCTCTCTCTTCTCTTCTCTCTTCTTTCTCTTCCTGTCCTCTGTCAAGATAACTGGGAGGATCTGGTTAAGTTCTTGCAGATGGCTAGGAAGAAAGCAAGAGAGTCTTACGTTGAGACTGAACTTATTTTTGCCTTGGCCAAAACGAATAGGCTCTCCGAGCTAGAAGAATTTATCAGTGGCCCTAACAATGCTCACATACAGCAGGTATGTTCTGTTGCCAAAGTGTCCCGCTCTCAGCTAAATTGCTTCTGATGTTGCACTACCTTGTGTGTCCTGACACTGTCTCACTGTTGCAGAACTTCTGTCTCTTTAGGTTGGAGACCGCTGCTACGAGGAGGGCATGTACGATGCAGCAAAGCTGCTGTACAATAATGTGTCTAATTTTGCCCGCCTGGCCTCCACGCTAGTTCATCTCGGAGAGTACCAGGCGGCCGTCGATAGTGCCCGCAAAGCCAACAGCACCAGGACATGGAAAGAGGTAGTGTGTTGTTCTTTTTTTCCCATATGATGAAGGGTGCTAATGAACATGGCCAGATCTTAACTGCTGGGTGTAAGGGTTATGGAATCTGTGGCCCTCTGGAAAGTGTTGATGTTCCCTCTGGAACCCCGCATAGCGACGTTAAGGCTGCTTAATGGCAAGAATGATGGAAGTAGTAGTTCATCAATATTTGGAAGGCAGAACCCATGCTCCCTTCCTATTTGCGAAACTATAATTGCTTCCCCTTTCTAAGAATCTGACAATGTTTGGTGCCTGCAGTGGTGTTTCATATACTTTGGCCTTCGTTTCTGATTACCTTTTTAGTCTAAAGTTTGACTCAAGCCCTGCATTACATTCTTGTACAGTGGTACCCCGCATAGCGACGTTAATCCATTCCAGGATTAATGTCGCTATCCGGATTCGTCGCTATGCGAGGGAAAAAACCCATACGAATGCATTAAACTCTGTTTAATGCATTTCTTTTGGGGAAAAACTCACCGGTAAGCGAAGATCCCCCCATCCGGCCGCCATTTTTGCTGCCCGGTAAGCGAGGGCAGGGCGTGAAAACGCTGCGGGCGACCATTTTGGAACCGCCGATCAGCTGTTTTCTAAACATCGCAATGCAATCTTATTAGCGATCGCAAAAAAACGCATCGCTATGCGGATTTGTCGTTAAACGGTGCGCTTGTTAAGGGAGGCACCACTGTACTATAGAGTCAAAATTTATGCCAGAGGTGTTGAATCTTGACAACCAATCTTTGGAAATGTGGGATGAAAAAATGGTTCAGACTTGTACCTGTGTTGCCAATGGCTTTCTCCTTCTTTGTTTGCAGGTGTGCTTTGCCTGTGTGGATGGAAAGGAGTTCCGGCTTGCCCAGATCTGTGGCTTACACATAGTAATCCATGCTGATGAGCTTGAAGAGTTGATCAGCTATTATCAGGTTGGAGTCCTTTAACCATCTGATTGAAAATGTCTGCTCTCCTCATTGGCAGTATAGCATTTACTTATTCGCTAAGTTGTCTCAGCAAAGCAGGAAAAAAAATTAAAACAACTATAATATTCACGCCTGAAGCTAGCATAGTTAGCATCTCTATATATGGCAAATATGGAAGGGATTGTCACTCTCGAAGTGGCCTTCTCAGCCACACTAGACGCTGTTGCAAGACCTTTATTTGGAGCACGTTACCATAGTCTCTTGAGACTGAAGGATGCCTACATATATCGCAAATGTATGTGCATATATTTAGAAGTTTGTGTATTGCAATTAATGCAGCACCATGAGCTTTCTCAGTGGAACCAGAACACCAAGAAAGCTGGAAAATATGTCAAAAATACTGTAGTTAAGAAATGTCTGGACAGACCCATCAGGATGGTTGTTGGTGTCATAGTCCTGCTAACAATCTTGTTTTAACTTCAAAAATAAACTTTGGGTCAGTACACTTTGCTGCTGCTTCTTTTATTTAAAAGTTGCTTCTGCTGAGTTTTAGCATTGTTGAAACTGTTAGGAACTTCCTGCACCTAAGCAGGACTTTCTTGTCATGTATTTTTGAAACAAATTCTTTTCTGAAATGTTAAGATGCTTGCTTTAAAATGGTGCATAATTAGGTCTCTTCTTTTTTTTCTTTTTCTTTCCTTTCTTTTTTGCTAGTAGTGAGTACTGTACTTAAACCTGTTGTGCCCTTTAGGTCTCTTCTTTTTTTCTTTTTCTTTCTTTCTTTCTTTCTTTCTTTTTTTGCTAGTGGTGAGTACTGTACTTAAACCTGTTGTGCCCTTGATTCATAGGATCGTGGATACTTTGAAGAACTCATCGCTCTGCTAGAAGCTGCGCTGGGCCTGGAGCGTGCTCACATGGGAATGTTTACCGAGCTTGCTATCTTGTACTCTAAATACAAACCACAAAAGATGAGAGAGCACTTGGAACTCTTCTGGTCCAGAGTCAATATTCCAAAGGTATATGATTCTACAGCCCTAAATAAACTGAGTACACCAAGCATCATCTGGAAATGAAATCCTCTCTCGCAGGAAGCATCCAACATGGCCAACAAAGCCAGAGTTTTAAAAAAAAAGTCACAATTAAAAATATTGGGGCAGTGGCAATGAAGGCAAGCCCAGCAGAAAAACACAGAGCAAACGACATCTTCAGAGACCCTTTACATCAAACATTTCTAGTGCATGCTGGAAAGCTATAAGAGGAGACGCTGGACATTTTGAATTGTCAGTGCCAGCTTGTCTCATTCCACAATGTAGAGAGGAAGGTTTTCATTAATCAAGCTCATTAATGATGATAAGAAATAATATTTCAGATACTCTGAGCTTAGGCCATTTAGGACACAAGTGGGCAGACATCAAGTTTGCAAACTTCTGTTTCATTTTCCTCCCTCAAATCCCGAAATCTGCCAACAAGGATTAGTTGCAGAATAATGTCTTGGACAGGCAGACATACAGAAAGAAATAAGGAGCAGAATGCATCTGAGTGTATTCTCAGCCAAGTAGCTCCATCTTGGTACTAGAACCAAGCTGTCTAATCCTCTCTCACAAAAATCCACTACTGGTTTTAATCCCAGGTAATCTTGTTTGCAATCTAGTTAAGGGATTTAAAAACCCTCTTTTCAATTAGATGTTTGAGAGTTGGTAAACTCTTGCCAATCTGTTGTGGATCACACAGAGACACACATGGAGATCCCTAACTAAATTCTCCCTCCCGATTTAAAGGTCAGCACCAGCACCCTGTTGTAAATAAGAGGCAGCGGAGTGAATGTCAGTATTGTGCCGCGCTCTCTGGGGTGGTTTCCTGTTCAATTCTTGCTTTGTCTCCTGCCTGACTTGCAAAAATGTCTACCTCTTCTTTCACTGTGCTTCCCAAGGTTCTTCGAGCAGCCGAGCAGGCCCATTTGTGGGGAGAACTGGTTTTCCTCTATGACAAATATGAAGAATATGACAATGCAATAATTACAATGATGAATCATCCTACAGATGCATGGAAAGAAGGGCAATTCAAGGACATCATCGCCAAGGTAAGCACCTCTAAGATGGATGCTCCTTTTCAACACCTGGTGCCCAAAATCACACTCTTGAGAGTGCAAGAGCAAGGTGTGAATGTAATAATGCCTTCCTACCTGTGTTCTCAAAAAACTGGTACGGTGGTGCCTCGCTTAACTATGTTAATTCGTTCCAGCGAAATCGCTGTAGAACAAAAACATCGTAAAGCGAAAATTAAAAAAAACATTAACACGCATTTAAATCCAGTTAATGCGTTCCAGTGGGTTAAAAACTCACCGTCCAGCGAAGATCCTCCATACGGCGGCCATTTTCGGTGCCTGTTTAGCGAGGAATCCGTCCTAGAAAACAGCGGGGGGCATTCTCTTCAGCTGGTGGCCATTTTGGAACCCGACGATCAGCTGTTCGCTGATCATCGTAATGTGAAAAATTGGTTCCCGAAGAAGGGAACCGATCATCGCACAGCAGATTTTGCCCATAGGAAGCATCGTTTTGCGATCGCAAAAAAAGGCATTGTTAAGCAGATTCGTCGTTATCCGGGGCAATCGTAAAGCGAGGCACGACTGTACTGAGAAGCACCAAATACACTAAACCTTAAATACAGCCGCCACCATAACTATGGCTCATTAATAGCTTTATTTTTCACAAATCTGTCTTAATTCCCTTTTTAAGTGGTCCAAGTGTTGGGCATTATTCAGTAATTTCTAAATTAAATCTAATGGGTCAGTTCCACACCAGCCAGTTGTCTTGTGTTTCCTCTCTAGGTGGCCAACGTGGAACTGTATTATAAAGCCCTGCAGTTCTATCTGGATTACAAGCCGTTGCTGATCAATGATCTCCTCCTGGTATTATCTCCCCGGCTGGACCACACCAGAACAGTTACCTTTTTCTCCAAGGTGAGTTTAGGCCCGTATTTTAACAGTGGGCTAGCCATATTTGCTTCTCTCCACCACTTCTGTTTTCACATTGGTAGTCAAAATAAGTGAGCCCGTTTTTCTACAAGGTGAGAGAATCCTGAAGCATTTCTCTACTTCCGGATCCATCGCAGTCCACATACATTTGTATAAATTAGTGAGGTCTTTTAGAGTCATGTTCGAGATTTTGTAAATATTCTTTCGCACAGATTTGTTGCTTCTGTTCTTGGAGAGCAGTAGTTTCCTCCTCCACGATTTAGCTTGGGCCCAAATGTCCTAACAGTGCACTCAAACAGAGACCTTCTGTAAACTGTTTTTTTTCTTTTGTCTAAATGATGGTGTTCTTCCATAGGTTAATCAGTTGCCTCTGGTGAAACCTTACTTGCGCTCGGTTCAAAACCATAATAATAAAGGAGTCAATGAGGCACTGAACAATCTTCTGACAGAGGAAGAAGACTACCAAGTAAGAATCTGTAGTCCTTATTACATTGTAGTTCCATAGAAGCATTCATGTTTCTTCCATTTCTGTTCATCTTTCATGGTGCTTTTCTGTTCTGTTCATAGCAAGAATGCCATGTGGCCATTTAATTCATGATTCAGTCTAAAATACTTGACAGTTACAGGTATATCTCTCCAACTAGCATTCCTCTAACACAAACTGTATTTATCAATTTTGTCATGGAAAAAAAAAGGTGCCGTTTTGTTCTAGATAATAAGTTTGTATTATATGAGGCCCAAGCCACTTGTAAATTCCTGTGTCTGATTTGCAACTGGATGACAGTTAATGTGTCGTCCCATCATGTCAAGTCTCTGGGAAACTGTGCTTTTCCTATTGCTGTGTTCAGAAGGCCCCAGAAAGCTGCATTGCAGGAGAACTAGTAATAGTGCATTGGAATATCATTTGGGAGGACCACTTTGGAGTCCTCATTATGAAACTCATCTTAAGCCATTCCATCTCAGCACGACCCCCTTAAAAGATTTGTTGTGAAGATAAAGTTGCTAGGAAGAAGGCCATACGCATATCTTGAGCTTATTAGAGCAAAGTCAGAATAGAAATATAGCAAACAGATTAAATCAGAACTTAGAAATAATTAGAAATAAGCAAGATGTCTGCTGGAACTAAGTATTTTCAAGGCAAGACAGAGTTACAGTTCAAAGGTAACATGATGGAATGAAGTTGCTTCATTAGTGTCACATGTTTTCAAATTCTTGTCAAAAGTTGCGTTTTAAAGACATCTAAGGGATAACAAGAATTTTTCTTTTTATGTGATTCTTTTATCAATCCTAGAGTAATTGATTAAAAAATAGTAAAAGCACAATATAGAATCTGCTTTTTATTTCCCCACCCCACCCCAATTCTACAAATAAGTAAACTGCACCAGGCTATTTATCAGGCACTTTTAACAAGCAATAGAAAAATGTTACTTTGATTAAAAGATCTTTCCACCCTTTCCAAGTACTGTAAATAAAGGGAGCAACATTGGCGTGAGACGTTGAGTTTCAGCAGGGCGCTTAGCGTCTCCATAGGCAGACACGTTCTTTCTTCTTCAAACAGGGCTTGCGAGCATCCATCGATGCCTATGATAACTTCGATAACATTACACTGGCTCAGCGTCTGGAGAAGCATGAGTTGATTGAGTTCAGACGTATTGCCGCCTACTTGTATAAAGGCAATAACAGATGGAAACAGAGTGTGGAGCTCTGTAAGAAAGATCGTCTGTATAAGGTTTGTGAATGATGGCAGTGCCCTTCTGTATGCCTTGGAGTTAGGGTGGGAGGGAGTCTTTTATTTAAACAGAAATTGTGTGTGCTGTCCAGTCAGTTCTGAATTAGGGAGACCCATTTCAGGGTTCTCCAGGGAGAGAATGCTCAGAAGTGGCTTTCTCTTCCCTTCTTCCCTGGATGCCCTGGGACTGTGCAGCTTGGCCAAGGCTGTATAGGCTGGCTGTTCCCCCTAGTAGGCACAGTCAAACGGCCAACCTCTGGCTCTGCCACCAGACACCTGAACCACTTATTTAAGGACCTGCAAGTATAGAACGGTCCTTCCCATTTCTCTGTGCGAGGTGGACCTTTTCAGCTACTTTGTGGCTGTGAAGATGAGTTTTATGACCTTGGTCTTTGACAGGATGCCATGCAGTATGCAGCAGAATCCAAAGATGCTGAGCTGGCAGAGAAACTGCTCCAGTGGTTTCTGGAAGAAGACAAGAAGGAATGTTTTGCAGCTTCTCTGTTCACGTGCTACGATTTGTTGCATCCAGATGTGGTTCTCGAGCTGGCGTGGAGGCACAACATTATGGACTTTGCAATGCCTTATTTCATCCAGGTGATGAGGGAATACCTTACCAAAGTAAGTGCGGCTTCCTTGGAAAGCCTTGTTGCTCTGTACCCGTCTAGACTCTTAGGTGACGGGCTTCATTTTGCATTACGGTGAAGTGCTTCTGAATATTCCTCAATATAAAATCCAGGCACACAGTTATTAGGTGGTACAATCTGCCCAGGTCCCAGAACCACCCTTCCCATGAAAACCCGACTTTTGACCCATTTTGTTCTTCTCCCATCTTCTGGACTTGCAACACCCAGTTACAAGTGTTCTGGTTTCTCGTTTCCAGGATCATATGTATTTCTACGCACACTTGACAAGTTGCTTGAAGCTGCAGATTCTTTCTGTTCAAAGCATCATTAGTAAGGCCCCGAGCGTCATGCTAGAAGCTGCCTTGATCCTGGACAATGTGCAACTGATAGGCTTCCATTTCAAACCAGAAGAAATTAAACAGCTAGCTAATTTAAAGGCAGTTGTCCTGCCAGGATCTCAAAATCATCCACACCTTGGTCTTCAATCCAAATAGTTATGCCATTTAGATCTTACATGATGTCAGCTATTTCTGTGGGGCAGGTCTAGTGTCAGGGTGTTGTATTTATAAAGTGCCCATTTTTATACAACGTGAGCCGTATAATTTCATGTTTGTTAAACTGCAGCAATAGTAGGTAATTTTTTTTTGGAGTGTTGTATTGTCGTAATATGAAGGAAACATTCTTGTTCCCATGTATGAAATGGACACTTCTGCTTTTGAGGAAGTTAATTTATTTCACAGAAGTTTAAATATTATGAGTGTCTTTGTTCATTCATTTTCTCCCTTCCTTTTTTCCCCTTGCTTCTTGAGTCTTTTCCTCTTTCCCCCACCTCAGGTTTGTGTGATCTTTGCTTTTATCTTCAATTGGTTTCTTGGTACTGAATTTAAGTATACCCCTCTGAATTTTCTTACAGGTTGATGGTCTGTTTAATAAGGTGACAGTCTCTAATGTTTTACATTCTGTTGTTATCTCATTTGTGTCCCTTAAAATACATCTAAGATCATATGGGAGTCTAGCTGTAGCTTTTGCTGAAAAGCAGAATAATCTAGCTTGGTCTAACTAATGCTCTAGTCAACCTATCTTCCTAAATAACTTCTAAAAATCCAACCAGAGTTTGTTTCCTTCACTTTTGGGGAGAAAGAGGCGTATTCTGGCAGTATACCCAATAGCTGCAGATGTGATCAGAATTTAGGTCTTCCAAATGCACTCTTGAGTTGTGGATGTACCAGGTTTTTCACAAAGCCAAGATGTGGTCTTTTGGCACATTTAGCATTAAAAGAAAATGAATGTAGCCAGGCAGGGTGATGCTGTTTTTCTTATGGTCTCTCTGGCAAGGCCTTGAGAGGCTCGTATGTGTCAGAGATGGGGAAAAGTGCAGTATGTATGTTGCAGTGAAATACTATCCATTTTTTAAATATGTAGTTTAGGGAGATAGTGGGACGTGGTGGCGCTGCGGGTTAAACCGCAGAAGCCTGTGTGCTGTAAGGTCTGTAGATCTTCAGCTGTAAGATTGAATCCACGTGACGGAGTGAGTGCCCGTCGCTTGTCCCAGCTCCTGCCAACCTAGCGGTTCGAAAGCATGCAAATGTGAGTAGATAAATAGGGACCACCTCGGTGGGAAGGTAATCAGCGTTCCATGTCTAAGTCGCACTGGTCATGTGACCATGGAAGATTGTCTTCAGACAAACGCTGACTCTATGGCTTGGAAACGGGGATGAGCACCACCCCCTAGAGTCAAACACGACTGGACAAAAAAGGGGAACCTTTACCTTTACTTTTGCCTAGGGAGATAGTAAATCTGTTAGGATGTTGCAGCCTTTCCTGCTGAACTCTGGTTGGATTTTACAAGCAATTAAGTGTCTACTAAATATCCAGAAAGAGCATGCATTAGTGGGGCTGGTTTTGGAGTAAGAACTAATCTAGTCCTGGTGTTAGTAATGTACTGGAGAATGAGTTCCCACCCCCTTTTAATGCAAAGGCATTTAACCTTCTTCATGTCATTGTGTACCTAACAGCTAGATGTGTATCCCTCTACCAAAAGGCATTGGTCCTATTAACAAAGCTCAGATATCCTTTTTTTAAAAAAGAGAGGGGGTGAATGCAGATTCCCTGGTATATTCTGTTGTGTGTCTGCCACATGTGCAGAAAGTTCATCCAGAATTTGAGAGGGATTGCCTGCTATGGGTGTTTGGGTATGGATGGGACATCGGGAGACTTCTGGGCCAGCAGGCCTTGGCATTCAGTTGAAGTGGCACAACTCCAGTGCCGAGCATGTTTTTGATATGTTGATTGTCCTTCTGTTCTATGGGGATGATAATTAATTGCTAAACAGCATGCAGCCGGGTGTCTTTTTTTGGGCGGGTGGAGAAAGAACGAAGATACTCTTTGAGCTTCCAAGAGCAGAGTTGCTTCGGAGCAGTCAGCTATGTAGGAGATAAACATGGCCATAGAAGGAAAGCTTGGGCATTCAGCCTTGAGGCCACAGATAAAGCCAATGTTCTTGGCTGCTTTTCTTGAGGAAGTTGGTTGTAGAGATGGGCACGAACTGAACCATGGACTGGGCTGGTTTGTGGTTCGCTTCATGGGTCAGTTTGCGGATCCTGTGTTGCTGAAATGAGACAAAGCGCTGGACTTCTTTCCACTCACTGCTTTGTTTTGCTTTGGCAAAAGGGATGGCTCCTGCCCCCTTCCCACCGATCGGCCAGCACATGCACAGACACAGCAGTCCTGGCTGCCGGAAGGAAAGCCAGGCCGTTGTCTCTGAAGGTGGTGGTGGTGGTGGGGGAAGCAGCAGCAGGACCAGATAGGGAGACAAAGGGGGAGGGGGCAATAGGAAGGGGGGGTAGAGGTGTTAGATTTCCTTTCCCCCAGGTACGATCTGGAAAAACGAATTGCGAACTGGTTCGTTTTTCCGGGGTTAGCCACACACCACCCCAATTTTTCCAGTTCATGCTCTTCTTTAATCTTGTGTGTTAGCTTTCGACGTTTACGTTGGCCCCAGAAAATAACTTCTTTCTTTTACCAAAATCTAAGTGTCACGAGTCAGCAAGCCAGGTGGCTGTTCCTATAAAGAGAAACCATCTCAGTTCTGTTGGTTTCTTAGACGATCAGTAGACATATCCCGGGGCATCACACTAAAAGCCCACGGTACTTTAACAATCCTTAGTTGCTCTGGCACTTCCACACTGGAAGAGAAGCTGTTGACCAGCCTTACGATACTGTCCTTTTCATAATGAATTGCTTAAATGAATGACAAATGTAACTGTAACAAATTTGCCCCTAGGAAGGCTGAAGTAAAGTAAGGAGCCTTGCTCCGTCAGTCCAAGTGAGTGGCAGCTGGTTGATGATGGGATGTAAATAGGAAGTTGTCTGGCTTAGCAAGACAGAAGCCTCGTTAGAAACAAGGCTCTGATTAAATCACTTCCCCTTGAGCAGACCTTCCTGGACACATACAGTGCTGTATGTTTTAGAGTGATACAGGAGAGAATTTAGGTAGTAATTCATTCCGAAGCACAGCACTGTCTGCTGTCACCCTTCAGAGAAGACATGTCAGGCCAGAAATGATGCTGTCACCGTGGTATTTAAAAGAGAGGCAGCTGTGCCAGCGTGTCAACAGGAACAGGCCCTTTGTGGGATTTCTCTTAAATTCAGTTTGTTGTCCAAAGCAAAGAGAAGATTAATATAGCGTGGTATATTTTGTTTATGGGTTTGCACACATTCATTGACATGGGAAGTTCGCAGCAGCTTCTGTGAAATCTCAGTGAAATCTGCGTTTGGGTCCTGTTTTAAGGGCATTGTGTGTAACAGATCCTGCAGCAGAAGGCACCCACCCCATACCCATGAGGTCATTGTCCTGGCCTTGCCATCTAGGGTTGTCCAAGCGTCGTCCTTCCCCATCCTGCCCTTCTAGCGCTAAAGCAGAAGTTGCTGTTGAGCAGCAATTCTTGTAGGCTCCAGCCTGCCCCCTGGTGTGGGATGCTGGGAATACAAGGGCTAGTCGGTGCCTATCCCTCGGCTAAACTGTAGTTGTTTGTGCAAGAGAGGAGGACTGAAGTGCAGACCTGTTGATGTATGGGCATGCATTTGGGCACAACTGCAGTAAGTGTTATTCCTCTTGCCTGGCCACAGAAGCCAGCTTCGGGCCTTCTCTGTTGGGTGTCCATATGTCAAGTGATCTGCAGTCCTGTCCTATAGATTTTCATAGGGAGCCTCGAAGTCAGATCATGCTGTGCAGCCTCATGTGGCTTGAGTCTATGTGGGAGGTGGTTTCCACAAAGAGTATGGCTGGAAACATAGGGATGGTGATCTTAGGAGGTGCCTCGGTGGCAACATCTGCTTGAGAGGGACAGTTCTTCGTGCTTTGTTTGTAGCTCAGGCCCGGGAGAAAGTTGTGCTTAATCCTCTGACACCTTGAAATGCTAACTGGTATTTTGTCAACGTGGAACCTATCTTAGACTCTGAAACCTCTTACTCGGGGAGGGAGAGGGACACCCATGCCGAAGGGCGCTGCAATATGGGGGGCTCTCTTAACATCGTTTCATCAGTGTTTCTTGTTGATTTCATAACTTAGGTGGATAAACTTGATGCTTCAGAAAGCCTAAGGAAAGAAGAGGAACAAGTAACTGAACCCACTCCAATAGTATTTGGTAGGTGAAGGCTTGGTCTTTGTCTTTATCAGGGTGTGGATTTTTTTTAAAAAAATCTTATCTAAATGTTAATATTGATACACTCCTCTTCTAACAAGCACCCCACCTTCCACGTGTTGCTCATGTTGAAGCCCAGTGACTATAATTTAACTGTTAAATAATTCAATTTAGGGATGGTCATCACAGTGGACATTCAGAGCCAAGGCACTCCACATGAAGCATGGCTGGCCCCATTCATTTTTTTTCCACTGGCTGCTCTAGCACCAGTCGTGTGGCATCCTTTGTTTTCTCGGAAGTAAGCTCCACAGTGTTTAGTGCTGTTTACTCCTCAGGAAGCATGCTTAGGGCAGCAGCCTTGGGGAATACATTTGCAGATTCAGGATATGTTCAGAGAGCATACTCAGACACATAGAAAAGAGCAAAATGTGTTAGGATAAAACAGCTGTATTCATTCATGAACTTTGGAGCTCTCTGCTCCTAACATAACATATTGGCAAGCCGCAGCAAAGCTTCCAACACAATGAATCTATTCCTTCTCCTGTTGCTGAGAGTTAGATATAAGGGGCACTATACTAGAAACGGCATTCTGTGTCTAGTCACGCTGGCCACGTGGCCACAGAGGATTGTCTTCGGTCAAACGCTAGCTCTATGGGTGGGAAACGGAGATGAGCACCGCCGCCTAGAGTCGGACACGACTGGACAAATTGTCAAGGGGAACCTTTACCTTTTACCTTATACTAGAATTGGCCCGTGATGTTTTATAATGCAAAACATCCTTTGTGACTGGGATGAGTTTGCTGATTTAGAAATGCAATATTTCAAGAAGAAATGCCACGCGTTCTCAACCTTTGGCTTCCCCAGATTGCTGTACTTCAACTCATGAACTCCTTAGCCATTTGCCAGGCTGGTCAAGGCCTCTGCAAATTGAAATCCACAACATCTGGAATACTAGAGATTGAGAACCCACTACTTGATGATGGCCACTGGCCCTTTTTTTAACCTAGGGCAGTGGTTCCCAACCTTGGGACCCAGATGTTCTTAGACTAAAATTCCTAGAAGCCTTCAACATTAGCTGTGCTGGCCAGGATTTCTGGGGGTTGTAGTCCAGGAACATCTGGGGACCCAAGGTTGGGAACCAGCGGCCTAGGTGGGGGAGGGAACGTGCCCTTCCATGGGTGACAAGATTTTTTGTGGTGCTATCTGGGGGGGAAAAGCCTTGTTGAGAAAGCAAATGGTGCTTTCTATTCGAGGAATATATGTGAAAATCTCTCTTGGCTGATTTTGCAAAAGGTGGACGTTATTGACAATTGCATTCTAGGTCCTTCCATTTAAAAGAAGTTCATGATGGTGAGGTCAGTGTTCTAGTGGGAATGGCTTTCCATGTGGGAGTCCAGTATTCCCTGCATGAAGCATGTGTTGTTTTTGGTAGCGTTAACCAATTTATGTCTGGTCCTTGGCAAAATTAATGAGCCTAGGCTTGGGGAAAATAACTAACAGATCTAACTGTAATGCATTAAAATTCTGGCCATGCAGAAGTCTCATATTGTATGTTTCTTCTGGACTTTAATCTAGTTTTCACTCTCTAGTAGCCGTGATACTAAATACCCCAAACAAACCCCCACTCAATCCCTATGTTACAAACAGGGAAGTAGGCCCATTTACTACATGTAAAAAGTTTTAAAAATTGATTGATTGATTGATTGAAGTAAAATGTCTTTATAGTCACTGGTGCCATAGAGCTATTTTTTAAAAAAAATACAGTATGGGGAATGACCATTCAAGTAGTTTCACAAATCAGCAAATCTCAACTGTCTCCTTGCACCGTTGGGAAATTGCCAAATTAAACCCAACTAGAAAGCCACTCTCTTACTCTCTTTATGAGTATCTGCTCTTCTGGTTACCTCTGGAAGGGTCGTAGCTCAGTGGCAAAACAATTAGATGGTGCTTTCAGTAAGGAATTTTATATCATATAAAACCATTGTTGTTCCCACTTCAGTTGCTGTGGCAGCGATCTGGCGAGATAGGCATCGTGGGAGAAAGGGTGGCTGCCGTAGATCGGACCCAGTGAACTTCATAGCTGAGTGGGGATTTGAACCCGGGTCTCCCCAGTGCTAGTTGCCCACTCTAACCGCTCCAGTGCACTGCCTCTCTGTAGACGCAGAAGATATCGTAGGCTTCCTCTTGAAATCCAACATACCGTATATTGGCAACCTGTACCAAGAAAGACTTCTTGGAAATCTGGGGTGTTGCTGCCACCTGCCCTGATCTTGTGGGACTCTGAATAAAGCAGCTTCACAGGCATATTGGCTGTTTGGTCAAAACTGGCTGTGTACATCCCTTTCTATGTTTTGATGCTTTTCGTGGGTTTTGTTGTTTTTGTTTAAATATAGAAAGCACCCCCTGCAGTCACAATATAGGGAGTGGGTCTTTTGCAGTCTAGCTTTTAGTTTCTGTTAGATAGCATCGCTTGGGGAGTATACAAAAGCTCTCTCTCGCTCTCTCTCTGTTTTTGTTTTTAAAGCTGACTCTGCTTTGCTTCCTTCCAGGCCAGCAGCTGATGCTAACAGCAGGCCCCAACGCCGTACCTCCGCAGGCCAACTTCCCCTATGGATACACAGCACCAGGATTCACCCAACCGCCAGTTTATGGTTTCAATATGTAACTCGCGCTGTTGACAGACCGTTTTAACTGGTTGCCTTCTCTTCCCGTCCCTTTACAGTTTCTTTTTTTTTTGTCCAAGGAGGCACAGATGAATTCTTGCGTTGCCTTCAACGCCTTCTGCTGTCCCACTCAGTCCAGAGACATCCAAAGGACACTGTGTTATTTATTGCTTATGTCCTGTTACATTTCAACCTCCAAAAATGCAGCTTTCTTTCTTTCTTTCTTTCTTTCTTACTTTCTTTCTTTCTTTCTTTCTTTCTTACTTTCTTTCTTTCTTTCTTTCTTTCTTACTTTCTTTCTTTCTTTCTTTCTTTCTTACTTTCTTTCTTTCTTTCTTTCTTTCTTACTTTCTTTCTTTCTTTCTTTCTTTCTTACTTTCTTTCTTTCTTTCTTTCTTTCTTACTTTCTTTCTTTCTTTCTTTCTTTCTTTGCTACTGACGTTTCAAGGCTCTGACTGAAGCTGAGGCACAAAATCAGCAACACAGCAATAACTCCTTGAGGCCAGGAGGAGCTGGGCGAAGGGGAGGGTTGGGAGGCAGAGGTGCTTTGTGCTTCCTCTAGTGGTAAAAGTCCCCGTTTTTGTACCAACGTCTCTTGGCACCAAGCAGTTAAGGCTCAAAAAAAGGACTGCAACCGCTGAAGCAGCGACTTGAGTAGCAGGGCATCGGGGTCAGAAGGTTCATACTGGTCGGACATACAGGAGAACCCTATGTAACCCATTGTCTCTCATCCCTGTTTCTTTGTGGTACCATACAAAACAACAACAACAACCTAGAAATATGCAGTAGGGCGGAATGGTGCAATTAACAGAACGTTGCAAAAAGAAAAAAAAGCTGCCTTCTCTAGTCGTGTGTGAAACTCTTTGCTGGAGAATAAATTGGATCATAATGCAGAGCAGACCCCTTCAGGATTTTTTTTTATTCTGTACTTTACAGCATGAAGGAGCATGATCACTCGTTAGCATCCAAGGGTACCAATGAAAACAACATTAAGACACCGTTTATTTTGTGCAACTTTACAACAAAGGTTAGGGGTGGGGTTGCACCTGAGCAGCCAGAAAGAGTCTTTTAAAAAAACAAAAACTTTGTGCCGCAAAGGGGGAGTATTTAGTAAGACAACCTGACAGAGTGTCCCTTTGCTTTGTGTATCAACGCTGAGCCTGAAAGCAAGTTTTCCTGCTGCTCTGGTGGTCTTTTGACTCGAGCCTTTCAAACCTCTTTGCCTTTTGGAACTCACTGGTTTAATTTTTTCTTTTCTTTTTCTGTTTTCTGGCTCTGCCCGGGTTCTGCGACATACACGGCCTGCCCACCAGACCCTTTCCTCTTTTTTTTTCTTCTTCCTGAATAATAGAGAATGCCATCCGAGATGTACTACTTTGTGCCACTCTTCAGAGACGTATATCATTTAACATTTTATGTACTGAAAAAACTAGATAACAATGTATAATTTATGGCTATGGATCTTGTGCTAATCATGAATATTATGAAAGTCCAATTATAAACATAAACCAAACCATTGTCCACTGTGTGGTTTGAAATACTGTGGCTGGAAGGAGTGGCTGTGTGACAATAAGCAGGGCCCAGAAGGCAGTGAATGCCAGCCGCTGCATGGAGTGTAAATGTCAGTAATTGTTTTCTCTGCCATTGGATAGAACAGCCTGGAGACAGAGTTGTTTCTCTCCTGGTCAAGCATGACTACAGGGGATGTCCTCTTGGTCTACGGCAGCGGTGCCCAACCTTGGGGGGGTCCCCAGATGTTCTTGGACTGAAACTCCCAGAAGCCTTCACCACTGGCTGTGCTGGCCAAGACTTCTAGGAGTTGTCGTTTTGGATCTCAGCTCCCTGCACCCCTGCTCTTTAGAGCCCATGATTAAAGATTGCAGGCTTTATAATCCTGAACATCTGAAGGGCAGAAGGCTTTCCACCTCTGAGAGTCAAGCTGGAGTACCTGAACCTGGCTCCCATCATTGTGCGAACACAGTACTTTAATGTGGTAGTGAACAGTGGCATGGATATCAACTGATGGTAAGATCAGTAAGATCTCCTATACCCACAGGATCAGAATCCGCTGATGCACTTATCCACGTCCTGGAAATATTTTTTAAAAAATTCGGAACTGTATACTTCTGATGATTAGGTTACCAGAACTGGCCACTAGAGGGAGCAGAAGACCATGCTATGTATAGTATTTACTATATGAATCATCATCATCACAGAACTGGAAGGGACCCTATGGATCATCAAGTCCAGCCCCTATCAAGGAGGCGCAGTGGGGAATTGAACTCTCACAAGGATACTTAAACCATTGAGCTCTTTAACAGTAATAGTGTTTGCTATAATTTGCATTTTTCAGCATCTGTGCAGGGAGAAGGCACTGTAACTAATCTCCTGCAGATACAGGTGTCCTCCAGTACGCCAGATTTGCTAAATGGGTGTGCAGGGAGAAGGCACTGGAACTAATCTGCAGATACAGGGGTCCTCCAGTACGCCAGATTTGCTAAATGGTTGAGGATGTTCTGTTTGTCATTAAACGACAGCTGCACAAGCTTGATAAGTTTTTTCCCCCGCTGCTACTCCACCTCTCTCTTTCACATTTCATAAACTAGAGAATGTGACACCTAATTTTTTCAACTCCCATCAATCCATGCTTGGAACCTATAAATTACAGTGGCTCCTTAAATACTTTGCAGTGATGGTGCCCCGCATGACAACGATGCCAAATGATGAATCTGCTGGACGATGACTTTTTCCCTATGGGGGATTTTCGTTTGACGACGATTAGGTCCGTGCTTTGCGAACCATTTGTTCGCAAGACGATTTTTCCAGCTGAACGGTGGGTTCCTAAAATGGCTGCCCTGTGTTTTCTGGACCCATGCTTCGCAGGGCAGCCATTTTAACAGCTGATCGGCGCTTGGAAAATGGCTTCCCTATAGGTGATCTTCACTGGACGACGAGATAATTTCCCCATAGGAACGTATTAAATGGGTTTCAATGCATTCCAATGGGGAATTGTTTTTCGCATGACGACGATTTCGCTTAACAGCGATTTCAGGGGAACGGATTATCGCCGTCATGTGGGGCACCACTGTATTTTATTTATTATTGGATTTCTATCTCACCCATCTAGACTAAAGGTCTACTCTACTTAGTTTCCCAGGCACCTGACTTTTCCAGCTCCTGTCAGATTTTGGAAACTAATGTGGGTCAGGCTTAATGAGTCGTTCCGTGAGAGGCTTCCAGGGAATCTCCAGATAAGCTAGGAAAGACTCTATCTGCAAAGCTGCTATTGTTCAGCACGGACCTCATTGGGACAGACGGATCGTTGTTTTTCTACAGTCTAAGGCAGCTTTCTGTGTCCTCCTTTGCAATGGGATCAGCCATGGGTTAAGAGCATGAAAATAAACCACTTTTTCACACTGTCCTTTCAAGCTTCTGTTGTCTGGTACCAAGCAGATCTCTGAAATGGCATCATCAACAACGTACGACTTCATGTGTATTTTCTAGACTACTTCAACTAGAACTTGTTAGCAGCAGTCAGGAACTCGGTCGCTGAAAATCCTTGGGTTTCTGAAATGCTCAGCAACCAAATGCAGATTTCCTTTTATGGCACAGCCTTTCTTTTCCAGATCGTTCTCTCGTACACCCTGCTAACAGAACAAAGCACAGAACTGGAAAAAGAGCTGCATGGAAGAGTCAATTTTGAGTCGGGTATTAAAATGCATTTTTTAAAAAAAACATTGTAAGTTGAATGTAAGGGCTATAGGTCGGTTTCTGTGTCTGTCGGCAGTCCCAGTTGCCCGAGGCAGACCAGACAAGAGTCCGTAGGAGGAAGCCACTCAATATATTTTATATATCCTAGAAAAGCAGCAAATCGTTAGCTATTGACTTATTATTCGACTCTTCCTGTTAGGAAAATAGGTGCTTGTGGGATTTGTAGCCTCGGGTGCCAAACGATTTGCTGTCTTTAACAAGCAGTGCCTTGTGATGGTTGTTGTGTGTGTGTGTGTGTTTTTTTTTTACAAACAGTACCTTGTGATGGTTGTGGGTTTTTCGGGCTCTTTGGCCGTGTTCTGAAGCTTGTTCTTCATGACGTTTCGCCAGTCTCTGTGGCCGGCATCTTCAGAGGACTGGAGTGGGAACTCTGTCCATGCTCTGTTGCTGTTTGTTGGATAGACTGGCGAAACGTCAGAAAGAACAACCTCCAGAACACGGCCAAAGAGCCCAAAAAACCCACAACAACCATCAGATCCCGGCCGTGAAAGCCTTTGAGAATACAGTGCTTTGTGAGGAGTTGCTTTGTGGTGTCTCGCCTCAGGCTGCAGAATCTCTTGGGCCACCTTTGGGGCCATTCTGTTTCTCCTTTCTGTCGGCATCCCTCCCTGCTTTCAGCCCTACAAGTTTCCTGTCCTACGGGGTCAGTTCTCCCCACCGGGCTGTTTTAATCTATCCAGAAACCTGAGATATTTTTTAAAGAAGCAGCATGTTGTCTTTCGTGGTGACATTTGTAAAGAGCACCCTCCTCTTCGTTAAGTCTGATTAACCGCATGTCCTGCATCATGTGAGGGATGTCCAGAATGACTGGGGAACGATTTAACAATGAATCCCATGGAAGGGGACAGGCTTAGAAAACTACAGTTTTTGAACTAGGACTCTGATGATTCCCTGGCTAGCATGGCCAGAAATATTCCAAGCTCCACCGAAGAGAAAAATCAAAAGGGCGCTCCGTTTGTTTTGTAGTCATAATGAGAAATGATTGCCCTGACCAGGGACTGGGTTATTAGAGTTTCTTCCCAATGCAGAGCTCGGCTAGCTAGCTAGCTAATTGATTGATTGATTGATTGATTGATTAAAATAAAAAATATACTTCCTTTTTCTGGGCTCTGATTTCCAGAATCCCCTGGCAAACACAGCCAGTGGAAAATTCTGAGAGTTATGCTTTGAAAAGAAGGCCTCATTATTGGGAGAAAGGTGATTTATAAATGAGACTAAATAAATTAATTAATTAATAAAAACTTCTCAAAGGTTTGTTGGGATGTTACTCTCCCAAGCCACACAAGGAGGCAGCATATGCCTAAGAGTGGCTGGTACAGGGAGACCCACCTCCATCTTTAAAACGGGCATCTGAAAAGTGGGTGGCTAGCTTTTCTGATGTCTTTCTTTTTCCCACCAGGGAGGTATATGGCTGCCGCTGTTAAGAGGCCCCAATTAGCATTTTTTTTAAAAAAAATGACTAAGCTGAGGCTTTTGTAGTCTGGTCACGTTATAAGACAAGATTCACCGGAGAAGGCAATGGTACTAGAAACAGTTGGAGGCAGCAGGGAAAGAGGAAGACCCAATAACAGATGGATTGACTCCATCCAGGAAGCCACAGCCTTCAGTTTGCAAGACCTGAGCAGGGCGGTTAATGACAGGGCCTTCTGGAGGGGATTAATGAATGTTGCGACAATTATGCGCTCTCATGTTGCTTCCAAGTGATGACCACCGTAATGGGATCTTTCAAAGTGTGTGAGGCGTTCAAGGAATGAATGATTCATCATGGCCTCTTCCCACGATTGAGTGAGGATTTGAACTCAGGGCCCTGGAGATGTAAACCAACACACTATCCATTACACTGCACTGGCTTTCTAATTCATTCTTATGGTCACCATATGGGGGGCGGGAAGTGACTTGACGGCCCATACCAACAAAAAGCCATCATTATGCACCATTTATTATTTATTTATTTAAAATATTTTTATCCCTCCTTAAGAAGGACCCAAGGCAGCTTACCTCATTAAAAGACATTGTTGAAAGCAAAAAAGCAGTAAATACACAAATATTAAAAAGGGTCAAACGCCAAGCCAACGTGATGCATGAGGCTAACTGTGAGAAGGCCAGAAGTGTGTTGTGCATGCATAAACCACTTTGAGGACTGACGTTTCCTTTTTTTTTTTCCCCCTATTTCTGATTTTCTGTTCTTTCAACGGGGATCTCCCCCCCCCCCCCCCACTCCAGCCCCATTGCTATAAAAGCAAATGGCCTGATTTCCCCTCTCCGTCTCCTCATCCATCACGAGTAAATAGCAAGATCTGGAGACTCTAATCTACAAGAGAAATGGCACCATTGTTCCAGAGCCCTGCTAAAGAAATAAATCTTAACCGTTGCCTGCATATTTGTGGAGCCTGGGTTTTTTTCCGGTTTATTATTATTTTTTTCTCCCAGGAGCATGGACTGTGCCTGTTTTGAAGAATAATAACCCTACGTGTTTCTACTCGCAGATCATCTCCCTTGAAGGATGATAAGCCGGAAGTCTCTCTGGTTGGAGGTGAAGATGGGCTGGGGGAAAAAAATGCAAAAATTGGAAGCAACTTGCTCTCACTGTATGAGATGACAAGGAGCCTGAGAACTTCTGCTGGTGAAAAGGACAATATATAACCATTTTATCTCAGATTACTTCCTACATGTACAAGTGATTGTGTCCCCTTGCATTTGATTGCAGAAACATTCATTCCGTGACACCACTCAGCCACAAAACAAAACTCAGTGGGGGGAAAAATGACAGCAAAACCAGAGGAAGGGGAACTGGTGAGGCAGGAGGAAAAGAGGAGGGTCCAACTTGAGATGGATTGACTCAGTCAAGGAATCCACAGGAAAAAAAAAGAAATCTCCCTTTTTATTTTAATTGGAACTTGCCAGAGCTAAGCAGACCCTTTGGGAGAAAATCAACGTGCCGACATATTTTATTTATTCATTCGTTGTTTGTTTAATTTATACCCCACCTATCTGGTCAATTGTGACCACTCTAGGCGGCTTACAACACACATTATAAAACAATTAAACATGTAACATACAACAAAACATAGTTTGCATAAATAAAAAGAAATAATTTTTTTCCCAAAGATGGCAAGAAACAGGGTATGTTGTAGACGAAAAGGAAAAAAAGAATAATTAGGAATTAGCTGGAAAGGGGGATAATAGAATAATACAGAAGCGACTTGACAGCACCAAAAAAACAGAGGCAAGAGTGGGAGGCGGGGCTTAAAGCTCCCGCCCCTCCCTTTCCTCCGGGCTGGCCCCGCCTCCTTCCCAGCGCATGTCAATTACGGGAGGTGACGTTGCAGGAGGGCCAGCCACGCCCCCCAAGCTGGAAGGCGGGGAGGGAGGGGGAGAGAGAGGGAGAGGGAGAGAAAGGGGGCGGTGGCTGGGGCTGCCTTTCAGACATACTCGCCCCGCACCGGATCCGAGGGTGGGTCTCTCTTTCTCTCTCCTCCCGGAGGGGATTGCAAGACTTTTGGAAGCCCCTCTTTCCTGCGATTGCCCCCTCCCTGCCTTCCTTCCTCGCCCCAGGATCGAACCCGCGGAGCCGCCTCGGGAGGAAGGCAGAACCGACCCGCCCGGCGATGTCGCCCTCCTTGCCCCTCGCCTCCACCTCCTTCAGGGACCCCTTCCCACGACCCCGTTGCTTGGCCGCCGCCGCCCCCGCCGGCAAAGCCAAGCTCACCCACCCGGGCAAAGCCATCCTGGCAGGTAAGCGGCTGCGGAAACTTCCCCTGGGGGGGTGATGATGGGGCTCGTGGGTGGTGATTGGGGGATGATGGGCTTGCATTGCTTTTGACTTTTTAAAGAGGGGACCAGAAACGTTTTGCGGGCTTCCCCGGTTGCAAAAAAAGAAAAAAAAAAAGGATTGCACGCGGGCACACCCTTCCCAAACCTTTGTCTCTCTCTTTCTTTGTCACACATACACACGCACACACACAAACACGCATCCCAGGTTGTCTTGCGGGGAGGTCCCGCACAAGTTTGCAACTTCTCCCCGCAGGATCGGGGACACCCCTCCCCCGGCTCGCGCCAGCGTTCCCGGGCGATGGTTTTGCAGGCTACCCGGCTCGCATTTCCTGGATGATGATGATGATGATGATGATGATGATGAATTTTAAAGGCAGGTCGAGAAGGGCAAAGGGGGATCCCGTTCGCGATCCGGTGCCCCCCCCCCGGAGCCATGCGTGGATTTTTGCACC